ATTGGATGTCTCCCAAAGAGCTCGATGAGTTGCGTAGACAATTGTCTAAGTTGATAGAGAAAGGGTGGATTAAGCCAAGTTCCTCACCGCATGGTGCACCTGTCTTGTTCGTGCCGAAGAAAGAAGGTGATCTGCGTATATGTGTATAGATTATAGGGGACTTAATGCGATAACCATAAAGAATGTTGAGCCATTACGGCAGATAGACAATCTCCTGGATAGAGTGCAGGGTTGCAAGTTCTTCTCGAAGATAGACTCGAAGTCGGGCTACCATCAAATCGAGGTGTTGCCTGAAGACCAACACAAGACGGCCTTTACAACTTGATATGGCCCACTACGAATTTGTGGTCATGTCGTTTGGATTGACTAATGGCCCTGCTACTTTCCAACGATGTATGAATGAACTCTTCCGCTATTGGTTATCTAAATTTATTGTTGTTTATTTGGACGACATTATGATTTTTAGTAAAACGTTAAAGAATACCAAAAACACTTACGTTTAGTGCTAAGTAAGTTGTGCGGCACACAGTTTAAGTTGAACCCGAAGAAATATGAGTGGGCCAAGCGCCAGGTGTTATATTAAGGACATGTGTGAGATGGAGATGAAATTAAGCCGGAAGACGGTAAGATAGCAGCAATTGGAGATTGGTTGACGCCACGTACGTTGACAGAACTACAGTCGTTCCTTGGTCTGGCTAACTATTACTGCAAGTTCGTGAGGAACTTCACAGTCAGGTGTTATATTTGGGACATGTGTTAGATGGAGATGGAATTAAACTGGAAGACACTAAGATAGTAGCAATTGCAGATTGGTCCACTCCACGTACGTTGACGGAACTACAGTCGTTCCTTGGTCTGGCTAACTATTACCACAAGTTCATGAGGAACTTCATTGTAATAGCTGCGCCGTTGCGTAGGCTGTTGAGGAAAGAGACAGTCTGGAGATGGGATAAATACTGTACTTCAGTCTTTAAGTGTCTAAAGAAATGCTTAATATAGTACTCGGTTCTAAAGATTGTTGATCCATCCTTGTCTGTTTATCATTACCACTGACGCTAGTCAATATGGAATAGGTGTTGTACTCCAACAAAATGATGGCAATGGGTACTAACCTGTTGAGTTCATGTCCTGTAGACTACCTAGTGAGAAGGTCGTCGCTTCTACTTATGAGAGAGAGTTATTTGCTCTTAGAGAAGCCTTGAATCATTGGCAACACTAACTCCAAGGTCGGCATTTCAAAGTGTACTAGAACAATGAGACACGTCATTGGCTGAAGGCCCAAACTAGAATGACACCTAAGTTAACGAGGTGGGTCGGGGAGATTGATCGATTTGATTTGGAACTTAAGTCACTCAAAGGGAAGTATAACGTTGTCGCTGATGCGCTAAGTAGGCGAGCAGATTTCTTGGGTGTCATTGTAACATACTTAGACGCAAGCGTCAAATTGCAAGAGGAGATTAGGTTCGACTATGCTAGTGATCCAGTCTATAGCCAGTTGATTAACAAGGTGCAGACAACACCGCACAAAGTTCCGGACTACAGAGTGACCCAGGGACTGCTGTTCGAGAAAACAGATGTGCACGATAGATTGTGCATTCCAAACAGTGAAGAGATTCGCAGTCTAATCCCAAGGGAATGCCATGATACTAAGGGACACTTCGGGTGGAGGAAAACGTATGCTAACCTCCTGCGTTCCTATACATGGGCTGGACTGAAACATGACTGTATAGCTTATGTGCAGGGCTGCAAAGTATGTCAGAGAAACAAATTCGAATTTCCATGACTGTATACATGGGCAAGAGTGAAAATCATTCCACCATGCAGACCCCAAATTTGAATTTCGGGGTCAAGGTCTCAGGCCAAGTCGGTCAGTTTGAGAGAAGTCACAGTCGGGTACCTCAGGAGTCAAGTCCAACAGGCACCAGGTGAACAGTCACATCCCAGGGGCAAAGGTTGCGTTCTATAAGCAAAAGTTGCGTCTCATATTGAAAAGTCATATCCCACGGGCAAAGGACACTTTCCCAGGCAAAAGTCGTGTCCAGAGGCAAGAGTCACATCCCACAGTCAAAAGTCATGTTCCACAAGTGAAAAGTCGTGACTCACAGGCTGAAGCAGCAGCACACCGATGAAAACTCGAGAAAGTACCAGGCCTTGACATTCTGAAGCAAGCAGACCGTGGGCATGTGGTACCAGTACGAAGTCAAACCAGAAGAAGCAGAGGCTGGGACGAGCTGAAGCTCAGTCCAAGTCAGTATAAGGACTGGCCAGCCACATTTCAAGCAGATTGCTCATTCGTGAGAAGTGTGGAAGTGCTTCTGAAGCGCTTGTGCGCTATCTGCGAGTAGCATGCGCGCGAGAGCCCTGCTGGGCAGCGCTGCACTGAGAGGGAAGGCGGCCATAGCCGCATAGCCAGTGATAGGAGGTAGAGCTGAGTGGCAGCGGATGTATTTAGAGTCAAGATTCTGAAGTAGAGAGAGAGGGGGGGAGAGCGCATGCATGAGGAAGACCAGACGGGACACAGAGAGAGAGAGAGAGAGAGAGAGAGAGAGAGAGAGAGAGAGAGAGAGAGAGAGAGAGAGAGAGAGAGAGAGAGAGAGGAAGACGAGAGGGAGAGAAGAGAGTCACCTACCTTTGATGAGGATGCTGGCTTTGGGTTGCTGAACTCTGCGCTGTTGGGCGTTTGGTGAGTGGATCTCTGAAACTGCTTAATGTGATAATTTGTTGGAATTTCTTTTAAAAAAATAAAAATAAAAATAAAAATAAAACAGGGCCTTATGGTCCTGGCTCCTTCTATTCTGGGGAGCTTCAGTCCGTTTCCTTTTTTTTTTTTTTTTTTTTAACAAAAATTTTCAGAATCTCAGGGTTCTGGCTCCTACCATTCTGGGGAGCGACAGTCCGGTTCCTATTCCCCCGGCAAGTCGATATGAAATACATAAAAGACACACGCACGCTCCTCCCCATTATGGCTGAGAGGCCCGAGTAGGCAGCATTGATTACTTCCGTGAGGAAGGATGTACCACCTCTCACCCCTGCCTGATGTAGCCTGTCCTTTCTCAGCCTAGAAATCTGTCTGATCTCAGATCTACTCCTCTCAGCTATGAATCTTTCGGGTATCTATGATTGTACAAGAGCATTCTGAAACACTTATGCGTCTTAGGAAACCTCTTTATCTCAATAACAGCATTGGCATTGTTCCTGTGTAAGCGATAACCTGTAAACCCTAGGTCTTGATGTTGTTCTGATTTATCAATAACTGGTCATCCAGGTAGAAGTTACATCTCCTATACCCTAAATCTGTCACTGTTTTCCCTCTGGTTATTTTTTGTATCTGCTACCCTTAAACCCTCAACCCTCTCTGTTTTCTGTTGAACTCCCTTGTTGCTATTCCCCAAAAGAACGTAGTTCCAGTGTCAAGTATGTGAAGCACTTAAAATGCTTCAGTCCGGTCCCTTTTGCAAGGACCATGAGTATGGACGAAGCACAGAAATCCAGAATGCAAAATCACACTGAAGTCCAAGTATTCAAAGCCAAAGCAGATAGCACATGGAACCAAGTAACCATCCCATTGAGAATGATACAGAAGAATCGTGAGTCAATGTCCATGCCCACCAGGGCAACACCAACAGCATAACCCAAATGTAGCTCTCTCTTGTGAGTGGCGCCAGGCACCCTATYTACTCTACAGCCTATCCTACGACTACAACAATGAACAGCGACCAGACAACTTGACTACCAGCGAGTGATGATGTCAACACCAATGCAGACCTCCACCATCACCAGGTACGTGTCATCTTTCCCACACTCTCCCTTGTTACCCACACAGCGCCCTTCACCTCCGAAGTACCACCTTCGCCCTCACCTCCCCTGCACCCTCTTGCGGCCCGGCTATGGCCGCCAGTGCTTTGCAAGCAGGCAGCGCCCTACCGCCTAGCGCTGCCCTCCTTCTACTTAGCGCAACGCTGCTATGCATTAGCGCAGCACACCTGCATCTGCGCAGCGTGCCCGCATATGCCAGCATTGGCCAAGCTCCCCGCTGCCTCGCCCTGCTTGCCTATATGCCAGTGCAGTGTGTGGGCGGCCTCCCTTCAGCCTGTGTCTGGGGTCCAGAGGCTGAAGCCAACTCGATACAGTTGGGCCCCGGGGTAAGGCAGTTGCGCCTCCTTCATCAAGGCCTGCGGCCAGATTCAGACAGTGGGCCGATTTCCCTTTGGCATTTTCGGCCTCTCTTTCCAGCATGCATTGTCGGCCTCACGTTCAGATGCCCAGGGCCTAACCAACTCAGAGGCCCTGGGCTTTCAAAATCCGAGACTCGGTGCACTCCAACCAACTGGCGTGCTGCAACTGTATGAACCCCACTTCGTGAAATGTTGCACAGAGGGCTCTTGTCGATTTGCTGGCCCGCCTTCACTTAGGGCGGGCACTAGGCTTGCTGGGGCCTTAGCCCAAAACATGTACATCATGGCAAGGCCCCTACTTGAGGGCTCAATCCTCACATTCCATCCCCCTTAGCTTCGAAAGTCCACTGAGATGCTTACTTCGCAGGCGCCTTCCCTTTCAATTTCTTCTCATAGTCTGCCACCACCTGAGGAGCTGTGTCAATCAGTTTCTCCCTGGTAAACCAACGATCTTCTTTTGGATCCGTGTGATGCCTGAATCTGACGCGGTACTCTCTTTTGGGCTTGGGAGGTCTTCCTCGGCCCAGCGGCTTTGGAACGGGCATGTCCCTGTGATCCACAATGTCGTCGATCCATGGTTGGGGGCAGCATCGATCTCCTAGAAGGGAATTGATCTGTCTCAGCGAAAGGTGCAAGCTTTGAGGCATGAAAAACTGGGTGAGTGCGTAGATGACCAGAGACACGAATGACGTACGTAGGACCATCCATTGCATCTCCCACTACATCCAAGACTTCCCAGGGACCAAAGTATTGAGGCATTAGTTTACGAGATATTCCGAACTCCTGTCCTAACTCACTAGCCTTGTGCCAGACACGTTCCCCCACCTGAAATGTGGACTGTCTGCGATGTTGATTCTCAGAAGCAATCATGGCTTGCTGAGCTTTCTTCATATGTTCAACAGCCTCGCGCAACAACTTCTCATATTGCACACTGTATTCAAGTGTGCCTGGAGTTGCAGCAGGTCGGTTTTCAGGTAGGAGGAAGTCTAGTGCTGATCTAGGCTTCCATCCCAAGTGTAACTGGTTAGGACTAACGCCGGTACTACTATGAATAGCATTGTTGTACAAGCTGGCGATGAGAGGCAACTGCTCATCCCAATCATCTTGGTTGGGCTTGATGTAATGCCGCAGCAAGTGTTGTGCTACTCTGTTCATTAGTTCAGCTTGTCCGTTGGCTTCGGGATGATTCCCTGAAGTCATTTGAAGTTGACTGCCCATCTGTTCTGCAGTCCTCTTCCACAGTTCACTTGTGAAGCGGACGTCTCGGTCACTAATGATGGTCTTTGGTAAACCAAAGTCCCTTACCCAGTTGTCCTTGAACAACTTGATGACATACTTTGTCCTGGCTATCTTTGGCATTGGTATTAGTCTAGCGTACTTGGTGAATCTGTCAATGATGACGAAAATGTGCCTCTTACCACTCTTGCTGGTCACAAGGGTGTCCATGAAATCCATGGAAACACTCAATCCTGGACCATCAGGAATGGGTAAAGGCTTCAATAACCCAAGCGGTGCTCGAGTTCGCGGCTTATCCCGCTGACAGACCTGACAGGTTTCAACATACTTCTTTGCGTCATCTAGCATTCTGGGCCACCAAAATTGCTGCACTAAGTTAGCACTCGTCTTCTTGTAGCCAAAGTGCCCAGTTGCGTCATGACACTCGCCTAAAAGTAGACTACGCAACTGTTCACTAGATGGAACTACCAATCTCTTTACTCCGGCCTTATCAAGATAGATTAGCCCATCCTCCATCACAAACTCACTTTCTGTGGCCTTGTCTTTTGCCTGAAGTTTGCGGATGATGTCCATTGTGACAGGGTCTTCCTGATAGGCTCCCACCAATGATTGAGTTACTTCGTTAGATACGCCAAATTCGGAAACTAACGCACCTAGGTAGTCTGCTCTACGAGATAGCGCATCTGCAACCTTGTTGTACTCTCCTTTCAGGTACTCAAGCTTGAAGTCATATTGGTCTATGACCTCAATCCACCTCTTGAGTGCATCAGAAAGAGTCGGTTGAGTCTTGATCCATTTGAGGGTCTGATGATCAGTCCTCAGATAGAAGAATCTTCCCAAAAGGAAGTGTCTCCAATGGACAAGTGCCTTGTAGAGAGCGTAGAGTTCCCTTTCGTAGGTGGACTTAGCCAATTTCTTCGATGGCATCTTCTTACTCATATACTAAATCGGTCTCAACTTTTTCCCATCCTGCTGAGCCAGCACTGCGCCAATGCCGTAGTGGCTTGCGTCAGTGGTCACTATGAACGGCTTCTGCGGATCGGGAACCATGAAAACTTCGTGATTCATGAGTGCATGCTTCAATTTCTGGAAAGCACCCTCGCACTCATCACTCCAGTCCCACGGTGTGTCAAGTCGAGTTAGATCTGTCAAAGGAGAGGCGACTGTAGAATAGTTCTTTACGAAGTTCCTATAGTAGCCGCACATTCCTAAGAAAGATCTGACCTCAGTAACTGTCTGAGGTCGTGGCCAGTCTCGAATACTAGCCACTTTCGCATCTTCCGGCCTAATTCCCTCCGCGGATACTTCATGACCCAAGTAAAGAATCTTAGTGCGACCGAATTCACACTTCTCTAAATTGATCTTATACTTGTGTTGTCGTAGGAGTGAGAGAACAGTCTCAACATGTTGTGCGTGTTCCTCGACAGACTTACTAAAGATTAGAATGTCGTCTAGATAGACTATGACAAACTTATCTAAATGGTCATGGAAGATCCGATTCATAGCGTGCTGAAATGTACCCGGCGCATTGCAAAGACCGAAAGGCATCACTACAAACTCATACAGACCATATCTAGTCTGAAAAGTTGTCTTGTGTTGGTCCTCAGGTCTTATTGCGATCTGATGATATCCGGATTTCAAGTCTATCTTCGTATAGTACTTGCATCCCTGCACTCTATCCAATAGGTCGTCTATGCGGGGTAGAGGCTCTGCGTTTTTCACCGTGATGGCATTGAGGCCTCTATAG